TCTTCAAAACCTGCATGGCCATAAGGGTCAATTGTACCTCAAGGGAGGAATTAATAACTGAACAAGTCATTCTGAAATATGGGTATTCTATATATAAATATGTAGACATTATATCTATTGAGACTCAGAGAAGTTAAACTACTCACTTGAGTAGTTTAAATCCCAACCTGGGATTTGTCCTGGGTCTGTTAATCCCCAAAATTCAAGGAAACACTGCCTTTGCCTACCTCCCCCCTCTCTGGTCTCAACATGAGTCCAGCTCTTCATGTGTTAGTAAGCATTTTTCATGTTCACAATTTTTTTTCAGCCTGCAATAAGTCACTCCTGGAATTTACTCCAAGATTTCTGCACCCTGGAGTGAATGTCTTATCTTGCCTTCTTCTATGATCATGTCTCTAATCCTAACCGTTCCCCACCTCTACCCCCCATCCTGGCTGGAGTGTCATCAGAGTCCAGGAAACAGAGAATAGGGAAAGGCAGGGACTTTAGTACGAGGTCAGCCTGTCACTACTTGGCAATTGACTTCCTGGAGAATTTGGATTTCTTACTTAGCCTCATCTGTAAAATGGAAGTCAAAATATTGACCTCATAGGAATGAGATAGAGGTACATGAGCACTTGGGAAAGGTTAGTTCTCTTCCTCCTTCTATTTTGCGGAGAACAAGGATTGTGTCTGGTGTTAGGTCCACATACAGGAAAACTGCAGCATTTGTTTACAGAAGATTCTTAGTGACATTTGTTAGCCCTATGACTGGAACTGCCTTTTCTGTTAACCTTGGCCAAGTCTGTTCCCATCTCTGAACCTCAATTTCCTGTTTTTTAAATGGACAGTAAATTTACATAACACAAGAAAAACTATCATTTACTGAATATTTACTATGTGTCAGGTACTTCAGTGGTCTGTGGGTGTATTAGCATTTATCATCATAATAGGCCCATGCATTAAATGCTGTTAATATCCCCCATATCCCAGAGGGAGACACTGAGGCCCAGCAAGGTATAGTACTGCTAAGTAGCAGAGCTGGGATTGTGACTCCTGCTCTGCAATACTCCAGACCAGGGTTTCTTAACCTATTGGCATTTGGGGATAATTCTTTGTTGTGGTGGACAGTCCTGTGCAGTATAGGATATTCAGCAGCAGCCATGGGCTCTACCCACTAGATGCCCAAAGTACCCATCCCCCAGTTGTGACAACAAAAAATGTCTCCAGACTTTGTCAAATGTCAACTAAATATTGATTAATAATTAAGGTTTGGCAAATAGCTAAACTACTAAGTGCTAAGATAAAACCTGATAAAGTATATTGCTTATAAAGTGTTAGATGATGACTAAAGTGTTAGTAGAAAATCAAATATTAACTATTCAAGTATTAGCTGATTTACCAAGGGATTAATTTAAAACTAAGTTGTTAGCATATATTGGTTAGTCAATGACTAAGGTAATAGTTGATAAGGATTTAAAGTGAGATTTTTTTCCCCCATGGGGCTCTTGCACATTCAAAGGGACGTGGGGGCAGCAGAAAGCTGATAAAGCCTAGGAATGAAAGTCTAATTGGGACTACAAATTTCTCAGCTGCACTCTAAATTTCTGGGGGAACCTGACAGCATAGAGCTGGTGCTCAAAATGCTTACCTTATAATCAAATGTCATACTAAGAGCCAGGCGCCATGCTAAGGAGAGAAGGAAGGGCAGCTTCTTAAACAATAATACTATAGTGAGTGAGTAGTGTGTGAATGGAAAGGCTCTGGGGGTCTGTGAAGCCTGAGTGGAAGGGAGAGAGGTGTGTTCTGGAGAGATGACGAGTTTAGTTCTGGACGTGTTGAACTGAAATGTTTGTAGACATGCCCAGTAGGCAGGTGAATAATGGGAGTCCAGTGTAGATACAAGGTAGAGATTTAAATGTTAACAGTGTATGGATGGTGGTCAAAACCATGAGAAAAAATGGGGTGACTGCAGAAGAGTACATGGTGTGAGAAAAAGGCCCAGCCTACTACCCCAAAGAAGACCAATAGGGAAAGAATGGGCAGGAGGAAGAGACATTAACAGATACTGAAAGGAAGGAACACTCAAAGAGATGGGGTAGAACCAAGAGAAGACGGTGGCATGAAAGAAGTGAATATGTCAGAGAGAAGACTATACTCATCAATGTCAGGTGTGGCTAAGAGGCTAAACAGCATAAGTCAGAGAGACATCCTTCGAGAATGTGGTTCTGAGGGTGCCTGGCTGGCTCAGTCGGTAGAATGTGCAACTCTTTTTTTTTTTAATGTTTATTCTTTTTTAAGTATATTTATTTATTTTGAGAGAGAGAGCAATAATATAGTGGGGAAGGGACAGAGAGAGAGGAAATGAGAGAGAATCCTAAGCAGGCTCCACACAAACAGTGTGTGGGGGGCTTGAACTGATGATGTGGGGCTTGAACTGATGAACTTCAAGAAACCAAGAATTGGATGAGACAGTGAGCGAGCATGGGGCAGGGACACCCAGGTGCCCCAATATTTACTTTTGAGAGAGAGAGAGAGTGAGAGCTGGTGGGGAAGGGGCAGAGAAGAGAATGTGGTTCTGAGTTATCCATCACAAACATTTCTGTGATTGCTGCGTTATGGTGTGTGTGTGTATGTGAGTGGCATATGCAGATCTGGAACTTGGAACAGGGTGTGTTGTGTAGAGGCAGGCTTGGAGGCCACGACAGGGGGGCTTGTGGTAAGCTCATAGAGAGCCTTCTTTTACTCTGGGTAGCTTTTGAGAAGGACCATAAGGGACACTGCAAGAACTGTAAGTAAGCACAGTTCAACTCTTTCATTGTCCAGTGGCAAAATGGAAGACAGCAGAGAGGAACAATTTGCTCAGTCTATGAGTCAGGGACATAGCCATATGGGCTTGAATCTGAGTCTCTCTTCTAGAAGAGTGACCTTGGGAGAAGTGGACTTGAAATTGTTATTAGCCAATGAATTACTGATTGGTGACTTTACTCATCATCTCAGTTTTTAGCTGCCTCTTTTTATATTTATATAAAAGTGAAATATAGATTTTACATTCAAAATTCAACATTACAGAAATACTTAACAAAGACAGTGAAGGACTCCCATTAGGCCCTCTTTCCCCTGACTCTGTCATTGACAACCACCAGTAATAATTTGGTCTATATTCCTCCCTCTGTCTCTCCCTCTTACTTAACACTGAACATTTTTTTTTTAATTTTTTTTAATGTTTTATTTATTTCTAGGAGAGAGAGAGACAGCGTGAGCAGGGGAGGGTCAGAGAGAGAGGGAATCACAGACTCTGAAACAGGCTCCAGGCTCTGAGCTGGCAGTCAGCACAGAGCCCGACGCGGGGCTCGAACCCACGNAGAGAGAGAGGGAGTCACAGACTCTGAAACAGGCTCCAGGCTCTGAGCTGGCAGTCAGCACACAGCCCGATGCGGGGCTCGAACCCACGGACCGCAAGTTCATGACCTAAGTGAAAGTCAGACGCTTAACCGACTAAGCCACCGAGGCGCCCCAACACTGAACATTTTTGATAAAAATATTATGCTCACTTATACTGGATTTTTTAAAGATTTTATTTTTTAAGTAATCTCTATCTCGAACGTGGGGCTTGAATTTATAATCCCGAAATTAAGAGTTGTACGCTCTACTGACTGAGCCAGCTAGGTGCCCCTATACAGGATTTTTGTGTATGTGTGAACATGTATTCATTTTGTTTTACAACTTGCCCTTTTTTCACTTTTGGAAAACTTATTATGGTGGTATACAGAAATCTAATTCATTCATTTTGGGGCACCTGGCTTGCTCAGCACGTAGAGCATGTGACTCTTGATCTTGGGGTTGTAAGTTTGAGCCCCACGTTGGGTGTAGAGATATCTTTTTTTTTTTTTTTGATTGATAAAATTTTATTTTTTTAATTTTTTTTTCTTACAAATAGTTTATTGTCAAAATGGTTTCCATGTAACACCCAGTGCTCACCCCCGCAAGTGCCCTCCTCCATGCCCATCTCCCCCTTTCCCCCCACATCCATCAGTCCTCAGTTTGTTTCTCAGCATTCAAGAGTCTCTCATGGTTTGCCTCTCTCCCTCTTCCCCACCATTTCCCCCCTTCTTCTCCCCCATGGTCCTCAGTTAAGTTCCTTCTAATCCTCCTGTATGTGCAAACATATGATATTTGTCCTTCTCTGACTGACTTATTTCGCTCAGCATAACACCCTCAAATTCCATCCATGTTGCTTGGGTGCAGAGATATCTTAAAAATATTTTTAAGAAATAAATCTAATTCATTCATATTAAGAACTGTATTAGTGTACCATTTGGATTTGTGCCATAATTTGTTATCAGACCATATTGATGGACACAGAGGTACATCCGATTTTCACTATTATAAACAGTGTACATACATATTGTACATATATATTTGCACAATTGGGGAGACTTCTGGGATGAAAAATGATGGGTCAAAGGGCATGAATATTTTGTTTTAAAAGATATTGCCAAATCACCCTCCAAAAACTTATGTCAGTTAATTGTCCCACCAACAGTTACTGTGAATGCCCATTTCCCCACATCCTTACCAACTATGGGTATTATCATTTAAAAAATCTTTCCAACTTTAATGAGGCTGAACATCTTTTCATATTCTTATTATCCAATTACATTATCTTGTGAATGATCTCTTCATATCTTTTACCTATTTGTTATTGTAGTGTACTTTTGGTCAGTGAGCTCTAATTGGGCAATAATGAATGGCTTGATTTAAAAAAAATTTTAGGAAGGCTTTGTACCAGATTGCTAACAGTGTTTATCTACCTCCAGGGAGTGAGATACAGAAAACAAGGGAGATATTTTCATTTAAAAAAATTTTTTTTAATGTTTATTTATTTTTGAGAGAGAGACAAAGTGCAAGTGGGGGAAAGGCAGAGAGAGAAGGAGATAGAATCTGAAGCAGGCTCCAGGCTAAGCTGTCAGCACAGAGCCCAGTGTGGGGCTTGAACTCATAAACTGTGAGATCATGACCTGAGCTGAAGTTGGACGCTTAACGGATCGAGCCACCCAGGCGCCGTGAAACTTTTATTTTCATTTAATATTCTCCTGTATTATTTTACAATCTATTTGCATTACTTTTTCAATTAAAAAAATAATACAGAGGAAAACAACTACAACAACAAATAAATCTTTGGCCTGGATTCTCAATGGCTAGAAATTCATGTTGGTTGCAAGTTTTTATAGATTACAAGTTAATTTTTGGTTCATATGCTAAAAACATTTATTGAATGCCTCCTAGTGAGCTGGCATTGCCCTCGGCACCTTTCATAGGTCGTTCATCCTCATCCTCACAACAGCCCTGGAGGTAGGAATTGGTCCCATCTTATAGATTATTGCTTGATATACTTCTATTTGCCACATGTTTTCATGGGCCAGAGGTACTTATTGGCTGGTGAGTCACTGGTCAAGGGCTCTCATTGGCCAGGAGTTCCTATACATTGTTCTAAGACTCGAATGCAAAATACTAGATATTTCCTCCCATAGGAATAACAAGGTAGGTGGGATAAAAGTGGAGTAAGGAGAGTCCATAGGCCCTCCCTCCGAGCACCATTGAGCACAACTGAGTTTGCTTTGGTCACCATCCAAGGTGTGTGTGTGTGGGGGGGTGGGGATGGGACAGTGGGAGAGAAGAGAAAGTGGTTATAAGTCTTCTCGCTTCTTCAGGATGAGCTTCCTCACGAGTGCTGTGATCTGGGGCCTGATCTCCTCCACCGACACAGTTGGGTCCCAAGCCCCTACTACTTTTCCGTCTGGGGCCACTAAGTACTTCCAGAAGTTCCAGGTGGGCTCCTTCCCAGAAGTCTCTAGAGAAAAAGGAAGAAGGAAAGCAAAATGTGCTTCCCGGGGGCCCCGCTCTCCTGGAATTCCACTATCGGTGTCCATCCTTCCCTTGAAGCAAGTTGTTCTATTATTTAGAATTAACTAGAGAGCTTTTTAAAAACCTGATGCCCAGGCCACAACCCAGACTACTTAAATCAGAATCTCTCATGGTAAGACTCAGGAATCATTAATTTTTTTTTAAGTTTATTTATTTATTTTGAGAGAAAGTGCAATTGGAAGAGGGGCAGAGGGAGAGAGAGAATCCCAAGCAGGCTCCATGCTGTCAGTGCAGAGCCCAATGCAGGGTCCTCAATCCCATGAACTCTGAGATCATGACCTAAGCCCAAACCAAGAGTCAGATGCTTAACTGACAGAACCCACCCAGGCACCCTCAGGCATCAGTACTTTTTTAAAAGCTCTCTAGGAGATGTCAATATGGCCCCAAGGTTGAGAACCTCTGCTTTAGGATTCTGTGAAGTACTTGATAAAGCAGTGTCAGATCCTCCTTTCTTAATGATCTCAAGCTACTAAATAGTCTGTACCCTATTCTCTAAGGAAATCTTAATGGTTTCCAAATGTTAGTCTGTGGACTGGTTGCATCTGAATCTTGGTGGTTGGAGTGGGGGGAGGTGCTTAAAGTAAACAGATTCTTGGGCCCTGCTTCAGTAGGGTCTTAGACTAAACCACTTTTAAGAGTTCCCCAGTTGCTACTAAAGCACAGTTAAGTTTGATCTATAACTATGGGAACTGGAAAGGTACTAATAGAAACACAAAGGGAATAAAAAGCAAATATTAGGATTGACCAGTAGGATAACATTTAAATCTGCCGCAGTAAGAGATCTTTTGTTTGCTACACTGTTTTCATTTACTCCTCCAGGAAAATGGGTGGGGGTTGGTAGTGAGGGATGTGAAGGCAATCAGAAGCATGGCACAGAGACAAAAATGGAGCCCCCAAAGGAAGAGAAAGGCCCAAGGAAGGAAACAGTACCATAATGATAAGGTTGGCCCGTGACCTCATTTTGCAGTTCTGAGGCTTCTGGGGATGCAGAGGGGTCCTATTTCTGAAATATTAAGATCTGGTATTTTAGCTCTGAAGGTTCCCTCTATGGTCTACAGACTTTGCCCCTAACTCAGGACAGGAGATACCTGTCAGCCATCTTGGTCAGCCTTCTCAAGGCATGTGGCATCCCCTGTCTGCCCTTGGTTTCTCCATCCTAAATCCATAAGCTCGACTAATTCACGTTGACTAAATCTGAGGGCCTCAGTCTCCTTTTAAAATCCCTGTGTATGAAGACAAGACCCCAGAGAAGTCTGCTAGAGTGACCCTGAGGGAGAACTTCAAGGCAGCAGGGGTAGAGATATTCTCAGGCAGGAAGACGTCTCCGCTCATTTTCAAATATGAGTGCTGGAACAGACCATGAACCTATATGCAGGGGTCTGAAAGGGGCACAGGTCACCCGATCAGCAAGTAGCTTATGCTACGCAGGGAGCCATGACCTCAGCCAGCTGAGGGAAGGTGAAGGAAAGGATCAGGACTCACGGATCAGGTACTTGAAGGCAGGGTGGGCACCAGTGCCGGTAACTGCGACCTTGCTAAACATGGGGAAGGAGACACTATAGGTGCGGCGGGCGAAGCTCTCGATCTCCTTGTTGCTATCGGGCTCCTGTTGGCCAAACTGGTTGCAGGGGAAGGCAAGCACATTGAAGTGGTGGGGCCCCAGGTCCCGCTGCAGCTGCTGCAAGGCTCTGTAGTGCTGGTCTGTGAAGCCGCACTCGCTAGCCACGTTCACCACCAGGGACACCTGGGTGGCAAAAACAAAACCCGGATACATACACAACCCAGTGAAGAGTCATGCACTTGCACACGCCCAACATGCTCCCATGGTGACCCCCCCCAACAATTAACGCTTTCTCATATATTCAAGAGCACAATGTATACATACATAAATGTGCAATGCTCTCACAAATACACGAACACATGCACATAGGCAAAAATGAAATCAAACGTTCAGGGGCTTGCAGATATGTGTGCACACACATACACAAACGTTCATGAGAATAAGCATACAATATACATAAATGGGGATGCATATGCCCATGATACAAAAATATCACACATGCCCATAAACACGCATAACACATTTACACAGAGAGGCACACACACTGGTGAGCTCACATCAGGAGATAATGTGGGGGCACCTGGATGGCTCAGTTGGTAAAGTGTTTAACTCTTGAGTTTGGCTTAGGTCATGATCTCTTGATCATGAGATTGAGCCCCATGTCGGGCTCTGCGCTGAGCATATGGAGCCTGCTTAAGATTCTCTCCCTCTCTCTCTCTCTCTCTCTGCCACCCTCCCCCCCAACCTTTCTCCCCTGCTGGTGTGTTCTCTTGCTAAAATAAAAAAAAATTAAAACAAAAATTAAAACAAAAAAGGAGGTAATACGGGGGGAATGGAAAGTCAGACCTGGGTTTAATTTCTAGCTCAGTCAACTGGCACTCATCACTTTACATGAGTAATAAACCCTTCTAAGAAACCCACTGTGAACCCTGAAGGCAGGAGCAATGTCCTCTTCACCTCTCGGCCTGACATATGGAAAAGTCTCAGAAAGCGCTGAATGAATAAGTAAGTGTGCACACATACACAGTTGCCTGCATGGGTATAGAGATAGACATAGGTTTTCTTCATAAAATGACCCCATTGCAATCCCTTTTTGCACCTCTCCCTCCTGCACACAACTATCACTTTCTTGAAGCACTAGACTAATCCTTAAACTTATTATCACCTTATACTAAATGCATTTATTTATACCCTTTAGGTGATAAATGCAAAGCTGGCTGATGGAACTCGATTACAAGACAGCAATTAGAATTTTGGCACCAAGGCTGTTATACATTGTTAAAGAGTTCTTAAATCTTACCCCATGTCTGGGCAGCCCAGCTCTGTCTCTTTGGCCACTTTTTTGGAAGAGCTGGGATTATACTAGCAGGTTCCATAAAGAGGGCCACCTCCCAGAGATAGCCTGGGGCACTGGACATGCACAGGCACAAACTGCTCAGGGTAGGCAGGGTTTTTCAACCTCAGCACTATTTTTTTTTTTTTAATTTTTTTTTTAATGTTTTTTATTTATTTCTAGGAGAGAGAGAGGGAGACAGCGTGAGCAGGGGAGGGTCAGAGAGAGAGGGAGTCACAGACTGAAACAGGCTCCAGGCTCTGAGCTGGCAGTCAGCACAGAGCCCGACGCGGGGCTCGAACCCACGAACCGTGAGATCATGACCTAAGCGAAAGTCGGACGCTTAACCAACTAAGCCACCCAGGCGCCCCTCAACCTCAGCACTATTGACATTTGGAGCCAGATCATTCTTTTTTTTTTTAAATTTATTTATTTTGAGACAGAGCAGGAGAGTGTGAGTGAGGGTAGAGGCAGAGAGAGAAACAAAATCCCAAGCAGGCTCTGAGCTATCAGTGCAGAGCCCGAGACCCGGCTTGATCTCACGAACCATGAGATCAAGAATCGGTGCTTAATGGACTGAACTACTCAGGTGCCCCACTGGGCCAGATAATTCTATTATGAAGGGGCTTTCCTATTCATTGTAGGATGTTTAGCAACATCCTTGGCCTCTACGCACAAGATGTCTAGTTTTTTGAAAAATTTTTTAAATGTTTATTTATTTTTGAGAGACAGAGCATGAGCATGAGCAGCAGAGGGTCAGAGAGAGGGGGAGTCACAGAATCTGAAGCAAGTTTCAGGCTCTGAGCTGTCAACGCAGAGCCCAATGCAAGGCTCAAACCCATGACCCATGAGATTGTGACCTGAGCTGAAGTTATAGGCTTAACTAATTGAGCCACCCAGGCACCCCGATGTCTAGTTTTGACAATCAAAAATGTCTCCAAACATTGCTGTATGTCTCGTGGGGAGCAAAATCACCCCCAGTTGAGAACTACTGGGCTGAATGATGAGAACCGTTGAGCTGTAACTCCCCTACTCTGCCTCTACCAGATGAGGAAGGGGCCATTCTATGGGGCCACAGGCCATTAGAACAACCTTCCCCATTTGTGTCAACATGTCATATTTTGCCTGTGGTGTTGAGAAACTGGGACCCTTAACTCTCTTTCTTCCTTAATTAGGGGTCTTCCTCTTTCTTTTCTGCCGGATCCCTGGGCAATGAGAGCATTAAAAGTTGTTTATTTTTAACCCACGTCCTGTATGTCTGCCCCCCCTTGGAAGGAGGGAAATCTGCTTCTAGTTCCATACCTGAAACCAAAAAGCTTCTCCTTAAACTGACCAAAATATGGATGGACAGACACACCCAAATACACATAGTTAATTTACATATATGCATATCCAAACATAGAGACAGACTCAGGTGTGCACACAGAAGCAAGGAAACAAATAAATCATTTGCACACATGCTACACTCAGGCCTACATGTACATAAGCTCACACCTTAGATAAACACATTCACAGGTAGTCACCCATTCATCCATACTCAACACTGGTCTAAATGACTGCCTTCCCAGTTAGCCTCAGGGCATAAACTATACAAATCTTGCTCATGGCTTTGTCTCCAGGGCTGGAGCCAGTGCCAGGCATGTAGTGGGAGCCAGTAAATCTTTTTCAATTTTTAAAAAGACTGTGGTAAAATATATATAATGAGCCAGTAATTATTTACAGGTGAATGAATGACTAAGCAGTAGCCCTAACTTGGGTTAACTCACAGAATCATTTACAGCTTCCCTGGACTGACTATTTCTGGTTTCCTTCTAACCCTGGCAGCTAAGAGCTTGGGCTCTGGAGCTGGACTGCCTATGTTCAGATTCTCACTCTTATCTTTTAGCAGGTGTGTGACTTTGTTCTTTTTTTTTTTTTTTTAATTTTTTCCAATTTCTTTCTGATTGATTTCTTGGCTTCTCACTCCCACCCTTTTTAGGATTTACTAGTAACCGAGAGTATAAAAACACTCAGAATTCTGGGATCACTTCTCTGGGTCATTTGTCTCCAGGGTTTCTGTTCTTCACATCCTGGGTGCCTTATTACTTCTGAAAATAAATAGACTTTGTTCTATTTCCATTCTAGCACCGATTACCACTGTACGAGGAATTACCTTGTTCATTTCTGTTCCTGTTCTGTTCCTCTCTCTTCTCCATTTCATATAAGCTCTATTGAAGTGGAAACTTGTCTGCTTTGTTTGCCACTGTATCCCAAAGGCTGGCCTAGTACTTAGTATACAGTAGGTACACAATAATAAAGAATGAATGAATGAATACCAGAGCTAGTCAAGTGCTAAACCTGGGGCTCTCTGTCAAGCTACACTACAAGGAAGGAGAGGCCTGACAGGGAATGGACACTACTCTTATTGGCTCTTTGTCCTCAGTCCTGGATGAGTTTCCTGCTGGAGCCCACCAAAAACAGGTATGGAGCACTCTACCAAGAGCTTCCACACTGTCTTCTCATTTGAAATTCATAATACCTTGGAGGACAATCAGGACAAGGAATACTGCCCCCAGGACTCCCAGCATAATTGGGCATTTTAAGGTTCAGAAAGTACTTTCTTCAGTAAAGACTTGCTCCCACGAAAAGAATGCTGAAGACCATTTTTGTGTGGTCCATCCACATCTGGATGCTGTACCTATGTGTTCATTACCAACTCGTCACCTTTCCCACACCAAGGCCCTAGGGCCATCTTGAGAAATGGGACTCTGAGTGCTCTTCATTATACACAGTGTGACATCTAGGCCTCTGAATATACTGTTCAAGGCGCCTCTTGGTCCCTCCCTACTCTCTTCAGCCTCATCTTCCACCACTCAGCCTCATGCTTTATACTCCTTCAAGCATATCTGCTTGAAGGCCACCCACTCCTCCTCCGTACTTCTTGCTGTTTGTTTGCTTCTGAGCCTTGGTATGAACAGTTCTTTGCCTGGAATGCTCTTTTTGGTCTTGCCAAAACTCACTCTTATTTCAAAGATTCACCCAGGCACTTTTCCTCTCTGCGTCCTCTCTGAGAGACTTGGTAATGAGATAGCAGTTAGCCTAGATGACTCTTGTATCTCAGCTCGAGCTGCCATCTTAGGAGTTTGCCTAGACAAGCCCACAGATGGATGGGGTGTTCTCTCCAGGCTCTGTGCTTTCTAGAGCTGTATAACCTTTCCTCTGGGCCTTCGTGTCCTCTCTCTAGGATGATTTGTGTAAAGGTCCCCGTGCACCTTAATTGCTAACTCCCCCTGCACTGCATATTCATTTCCACAGGGTTCTCATTGCACTCAGTATCAGCAACAATCCCAGTTCCAGAGCGGAAACTGGGGATGGGAGAGACAAAGGCGCCAGAATGCTCCGGTTGCCTTTTGACCGGTGCTTGACAAAGGCCTAGCCGAGGCTCGCAGCCTCTGGGAGAGTCCAGATTCCACAGCCCAGAGTCGCTGAGAGGGAAGTCGGCGTCGGCTGGGAGAGTTTCGGGTTTCACTGCGCGCCGGGGGCCGTGCCACGTAGTCGGCGGGACTGACTCCGCTCAGGATCTGGGGGCGCCGCACTCCGGTGGGAATGCCCGGGGGAGTGGGAACCAGGGCAGGGCTGCGGGGCCCCCTCGGGGCCACACCCGCAGGGTCTCGGGTTCCCGCAACGGGCCCTGCGCGGGCTGCGCCGCGGCCCCGCGGGCGGACACTCACCGAACCGCGGTACTTCTCCAGCGACACCAACTTGCCCCGGATGTTGACCGCCTTGAAGTCGTAGAAGTCCTGCTCCCGCTGCGCGCAGGCCGCGGCAGACAGGAGCAGCCACGCCGCCACCAGCGCACCCACCATGACTCGCTCCCGAGCTGGCGGCTCTGCGAGGGCAAAATCCTGGCTAGGGGACCCAGCGTGGGGGGCGGGCGGAGGCGGCACCGGCGCCAGGGGGCCGGCGAGGCAGGACGCGCCCCCTCGCCTTCTGCCCCGTGGCTGTGGCGTGCGGGGCTCTGGACCTCAGTCTTCCCATCTGCACCGCGGGAGCGTTGGACTGCGCGCGAGTTTGCGATCCCAGAGCCGTGGTTTCAGGCTTCTGACTATTGAGACCATTCTGATCAGTTGCAATGAGGCTGCGTCTTGTTTCAGGATGCAGAGACCTAGTAGGGAAAGAGTGGTGAAAAATTCGATTTGAGAGTTCAGGTTTTAATTCGCTCAGGGGCCTTAAGCTGACCAGGCCACTTGTCTGGGCTTCAGCCTCTCCGTCAGTTCAGTGGAGCTAGCCTCCCTTCCTGACGCACCTAGGCAATATAGAACGGGAGTAATAGAAAAAATGGAGATGAAACTGATGGGGGAAAAAGAAACAAATGCCAGACTTTGGTGCTGCTCTGTCGCCAGGCAGAATTCCTGAAGCTTACAGATTGTAGCACTTCTACAGCTCTCTCGAGGACTTTATTGCTTTACCTCTATAGCTTTGCTCTTATTAGTGTCACTTTCCCTGATAGCTGTAAACATGCCTTGAGATAAATTTGCAATTACCTCCTGAGCATAGAGCCCACTGATGCACATCTGAAGGGTCTCCAGGCTGATATTTTGCTAGGCAGTAGTAAATAACCTAATCATAGCAGCAGCTAGCCCCTCAAGATCCTGAAAGCTTTACTTCCAAATTCCTTGGAGATTTAAGCTATCCTTAACCCCCAGTAACTAAAAAGTGTATAATCAGTGACTCTTCACAATTCCAGTGCAGCTCTTTCTGCCCACGGGTCCTGAGTCAGGCTTTAATAAGAGCACTTTTTGCACTGATAAGTCTCAAGAATTCTTTCTTGACCGTTTACTCCCGGCCTACATCACATCAAAACGCTTTGTCAGCTGAATGGTGCCTACAAACTTTAGGTGAATGAATGTGTACCTTCCCTGAAAAAGATGACACAGAGAAAGGGAAGAGAGGACAGAGGGCCTGTTGTAGGTTGGGTTCCGGGGAAGCAGATGCTGAGATAGAGGTTGCAGTGCAGGAATTTATGAGGGAGCCCCCTTGGGATCAACACGTGTGGAAAGGAGGGTGAGAACAGGAGTGGGCACAAGTCCAGATCTCCATGCAGGCCCAAGGACAGTCTTGGTTGATCTCATGGGGACTCTGGAGCTAGAACGGCCCATCAGAATAGTCCCCAGATAAATGAAAATGGCCAGGCCAAGACTTTATATCCCTGCTACACCTGTCTTTGGATGTGGGGCCATCTGAGAAAGGATGTGACAGGAGCCAAGGGGATCCTGTCCCTGGAGGGGCTGACAGTTAAATGTTTTCCACTGACAGCACTCCCAGCAGCTGGTGTCTCAGGTCTTTACTGAGGGGAAATCTGGGCAACCATTACAACGTCTCCCACACTCAGAAAACCTGTAGTTGTTGAGGCCACTTTTAGACAAAGAGGCTTGAAGGATGGAACATGGAAAGGGCCACGGTGACCACCTGACTGAATACAGACAGGCTCATCAGGGGACCCACCTCAAAATACCCATGGGCCCTAACGGACCAATGAGCTACTTACAGCTAGGCACAGTTACCAAAAAAGGGAAAATTCCATATGTGGCCACACCTCCTTGTCTTTCCCCTTTAAAAACAGCTTCCATGTGGGGTGCCAAGGTGGTTCAGTTAAGCATCCAACTCTTGATTTTGGCTCAGGTCATGCTCTCACTGTTCATGAGTTCAAGCCCCATATCGAGCTCCACGCTGAAAGTGTAGATATAGATCCTGCTTGGGATTCCCTCTCCTTCTCTCTGCCCCTCCCCTCCTCAAAATAGATAAATAAACCTTAAAGAAACAAATAAAAATAACAGCCCCCACCCACTGTCTGTTTGCTGCTCACCCAGCTGCTCCCTTGCTGTGTATTCAATAAATTTCTAGCTGCCTTGTTCTGCCTCTGGTGAATTCTTTCACTGCTTGTGCCAGACTTCCACCCTATGGTCACCTCACATTTGGGGGTTCCATCCCATCAGGACAGACACACCATTTATTTTATTTGTTTATTCTTTTTAATGCTTATTTTTGAGAGAGAGACAGTGTGGGCAGGGAGGGCCAGAGAGAGAGGAGACCACAGAATCTGAACCAGGCTTTAAGCTCCGAGCTGTCAGCACAGAGCCCAACATGGGGCTTGAATCCACAAACTGTGAGATCATGACCTGAGCCAAAGTCGGATGCTTAACCAATTAAGCCACCCAGGTGCCCCTGGACACACCATTTAAACACCACATTGCTGAGCCCCACAAAATGCCAAGCATGGTGCTGGGTGCTGACGCTGTACTACTTCTTCAGGAGCTCACAGGCTGCTGTGACAGTGTAGCCAGCATGCAGGGGTGCAAGAACACCAGCTTGCAAGAGTCCCAAATAGACCAAGTTTGTTATTGCTGACAAAATCCAAAGGCAGAAAGACAAGTGGTGGTGAAACAGGAAAAGAATTTATTTCAGTGGGCACAGCACTGGGAAGACAATGGGCTAGTGTGTCTCAAAGACTGTTTCCAAAGTGGCAAAAATACGTCCAGGTTTATATAAGGAAAATGTGGGACCAAAGTGGGTGGGCACGTGCACATAGGCAGTGACAGTCAAGTTGATCATTGTCTTGGAGTCCATCACAGGCAGGGTCTTGCTGGCTCAGCGCAGTCCTGATTGTTTGAGAGGGTGTTTGTGCTGTCAGTTTGGGTTCCCACATCCCAAACCCAGGGATGCTTTGCTTTCCACCTGAACCAAGAGACAAAGTGGATGAAAGAACCCAACTGGAAAATTTGAGGTCGAAATGGAGGCAGCCAAAGTTCGCTTTCATGAGAAACCAGGTACACTGGAGATTTTATGTAATGTAGTAAGGGCTAAGCATTCCAACAGTCATTCAACAAACACTTATTGAGCACCTGGTCTATGCCAGGTTCTCCTCTAGGTTTCTCTTACGCAGTGATGAACAAGACAGGATAGTCCCTACCCAAAGGGAGACAGGTAGTAAATAATTCATAAATAGGTCTATAATTACTGCTGCGTTAAGTACCATCTAACTTAACCTGGTAGGGAAGGTAGAAGCAGGCAAGGAGGGCTTCCCAGAGGAAAGTTTGAGCTGCATTCTAAAGAAGAAGTAGAAATTGAGCAGGCTGAAACGAGGAAACAAGTTCAAAGATCCTGAGTGAGAGAAAAACATGGTGCATTGAGAAACAAAGATGGCTATCCTGCCTGGAGCAGAAAGAGCAAAGGGTAAGAAGGGAAGGTAGTGAGGCGGGTAGGGGTGAGGCCACACAGCACCCGGTAGGCCACAGTAAAGATTATGGTCTTTAAGCCAAGAAATGAGGGTGGTTTGTTGTTGTTATTTAAAGCAGGGTAGTGGCAGTGAGTCCTATGGTGTAGGTGTGGAAAGATACCTCTGGCTGTTCCAAAGAGAGTGGATAGAAAGGAGAAAGAGTGCGTATGTTCTAGATGCTGAGGTAAAGGAAACTGTGCATTTTTGAGGCCTAGAGACAGTTGCTGACCTGGTAGTCAGGAAAGCCTTTCTGTAGGTGGTAACACTAGAACTGTATCTTCAAAGAGGAAGGGGAATTCTCCAGTTTGGGGAAGGGGAGGGCAGAGATGTTGGCCTGAGAGAGCAGTGTCTGTGAAGGGGCAGAGTCTTCACAAGAGTCAGCTTGGCTGTTGAGATGAGACGAGTAGAGTATAGATGAGGTGGGAACAGCCATCAGAGGCCAGATGGAGAAGGGTCTTGAGTGCCAAGTCTAGGAGCTTGGACTCCTCTCTCCATGCTGTGGTGAGCAAAGATTTTGAAGATGGGCACAAAAGCACACAGTTAATGAGACTTAAATCCAGGCCTTCAAACTCAGAACATGCGATCTTTCTACACTGCCAAGGTGACTCTCTCTTGAGGAGCAGACAGCATTACCAGGAGAAGAGGAAAAACAGAGAAATGGTGCTCCAGACAAGGGCCAAGACAGGAATAAAGTGCCCCCTGCCTTCCCACTCCCTCCTCCGCCCCACCTCCGTGGGAGCCTTGAGCCCGTGATGCTCCTCTGGTATTAAATGGCTCCCCCTTTACTCTGCCCCGTGAAGATGTTGATCTCCCTTCCTGCCATCTGTCCCTTTCACTCAGCCTTTCCCTGGATGTCCCAATAACCACGAGTTCTCAAATTCTGCTCCATGCAGAATTTTGCAAGCTCAGCCAAGCTATTTCCTGTAAAATCCAGATAGGCAGGCATTTCTACTAAGCAAGGGAAAAAAAAGTTAGAGGTGAAGTGTTTCTCACTTGTAAATTTCTCTTCTGGGGCCTACCCTTCTCCCCTATTCATGCTTTGGAACACAGTTCAGATTTCACCCCACTGTGGTACTAAATCACTCTCTCTTCTCTGATGCCTTTGTAGTTACATTTTCCTCTTGGTGGGCTGATGGTATATTGTGCAGCTGTCTGTTTTCGTGGCCTTGGGGGCAGGCTGGACTATATCTGAATTATCTTTGTCCCCTTGACATACATTAGCTAGTCAGTAAATATTCATTTTTCGTAAACCTTCTGGTGACTTTCATTAGTTGTCTATGCTGGAATCTGATATGAGATGCTACTGATTTTAGCCATCAGTGTATATTTTGTCATTTTATTTTCAGACCACTACGAATTTTTTTGTGTTTCTGAAAGAGCACAGCTATTGCCAAATGGTCTATCTATACAAGTGGGAGACAAATACACACACAGTTCTTAGCTGAACACCTGGAAGGGTGAGGGACTCACTCCTGGATCTCCTATAAAACCTCAAAGAAGCTTTTAATGGGCATTTATTTTATTTTATTTTTTAATGTTTTATTTATTTCTAGGAGAGAGAGAGAGACAGAGAGACAGCGTGAGCAGGGGAGGGTCAAAGAGAGAGGGAGTCACAGACTGAAACAGGCTCCAGGCTCCGAGCTGGCAGTCAGCACAGAGCCCGACGCGGGGCTCGAACCCACAAATCGTGAGATCATGACCTAAGCGAAAGTCGGACGCTTAACCGACTAAGCCACCCAGGCGCCCCTAATGGGCATTTAGAATACTTATAAATGTTTTGTTCATTCATCAGATAATTGAACACCTACTATCTACAAAACACATTTTAAGGGCTAGGAATATAGTAGTTAAGAAGACAGACCAAAAAAGACAGTAATTCTTGAACTTAC